AATGTCGAACGCACACACGCACAAAGAGAAAGAGATAAACAGACAGAGACAGAGAGCAAGAGAGAGACAGCGAGAGAGGGGGGCGGATATATATATATATATATATATATATATATATATATATATATATATAGATAGAGAGAAGAGAGAGAGAGAGAGAGAGAGAGAGAGAGAGAGAGAGAGAGAGAGAGAGAGAGAGAGAGAGAGAGAGAGAGAGAGAGAGAGAAAGAGAGAGAAGAGAGAGAGAGAGAGAGAGAGAGAGAGGAGAGAGAGANCTCTCTCTTCTCTCTCTCTCTCTCTCTCTCTCTCTCTTCTCTCTCTCCTCTCTCTCTCTCTCTCTCTCTCTCTTCTCTCTCTTCTCTCTCTCTCTCTCTCTCTCTCTCTCTCTCTCTCTCTCTCTCTCTCTCCCTGGTTTGTTCTATTCTCATTTGCATTATCTGTACTGTTTTTCCACTCTTCTCATCATTCTATGTTTTTGAATTTACAATTTTCTCAGTTTTTTCTCCCTTCTCTGTTTTTTCTTTCTGGATTTAATTACGTTTGTTGGTTTCCTTTCTCATTCACATTCTTTGCATGCCATTTTAACTGCTAGGTGTTGGCTTCTGAAGGATAATTATTATCATCATTATTATTATTATTGTTATTGTTTTTGCTGTTGTTCTTGTTATTTTAGTGTCATTATTATTATTATTATTATTATTATTGTTATTATTATTATTATTGTTTTTGTTTTATATCATTATTATTACGTCGTATCAGTATTACGTGTTATCATTCTCTCGTATATACCTCGCGCCTGTCCCCCAGGACGTCGACTACGTGCTGTCCACCGGGGACTTGGTGCCGCACCATATCTGGAAGATCACGCCGAGAGAGAACATCGCCATCATGAGGGAGATGACGGACCTCCTCCTCGAGTACTTTCCCAACTTGCCCATCTACGGCGCCATCGGCAACCACGAGAGCTTTCCTCGGGATAGGTGGGTGGAGTTGCAGTGGGTGGGTTTGGGAAAGGTATTTGGGGTTCGGTGTCGTCGTCGAGGAAGTATCGTCATCATCATGAGAAAAGCATCGTCATCATCATCATCAAAAAAGCATCGTCATCATCATCATCAATATCCATCATCATCACCATCATCATTACCATCATCATCATTATCATCATGATCTTCATCTTCATCAAAAAAACATCATCGTTGTTATAATCATCGCCATAGTCATAATCATCGTCTTGGTCATTATCATAGTCATATTCATGGTCATCATCATCATCATTATCATCATCATTAATATCATCATCATTAGTATAACCTTAATCGTAATTGTAATCGTTACCACCATCATCACCACCACAACCAGGTGCAACTCCACAACCAAAACTAATATCCGTTTCTCTCTTTTTTCCTCCCCTTTCTACCTCTCTTCCCATCCCTTCCGCCCTAACCGTTCCTTCCCTCCCTACCACCTCGCTTCACCCTTACCCTCCCTTCTTCCCTCCCTACCTTCCCCTTCCCTTCATCCCTCCCTCCCTCTTCCCTTCCCTCACTTCCCACACTTTCCCCCCTACACCCTTCTCCCCCTTCCCCCTACACCCTTCTCCCCCTTCCCCCCTACACCCTTCTCCCCCTTCCCCCTACACCCTTCTCCCCTTCCCCCCATTCCCCCTACACCCTTCTCCCCTTCCCCTCTACACCCTTCCCCCCTACACCCTTCTCCCCCTTCCCCCCTACACCCTTCTCCCTTCTTCCCCCCTACACCCTTCTCCCCCTTCCCCCCTACACCCTTCTCCCCCTTCCCCCCTTACACCCTTCTCCCCCCTTCCCCCCTTACACCCTTCCTCCCTACACCCTTCCTCCCTACACCCTTCCTTCCCACCCCATAGCTTCCCCCCACCGGAGTCCCCCGAGGTGTGGTCAAGATTCGGCGTCCAGTGGCTGTACGACGCGGTGGCTGACCAGTGGAGTCGCCTCATGGGGTCCCAAGTCCCGCCCACCGCTCGCTTCGCTGGCTATTACTCCGTCTTGGCGCGTCCGGGGCTCAGGATCATCTCGATCAACACGAATTATTGCTATAGGCTGAATTGGTGAGTGAGGGAGGGATACTGGAGTGTGAGTGAGTAATTGGTGAGTGAGGGAGGGAGACTGGAGTTTGAGTGAGTAATTGGTGAGTGAGGGAGGGAGACTGGAGTGTTGTGAGTGAGTAATTGGTGAGTGAGGGAGAGAGACTGGAGTTTGAGTGAGTAATTGGTGAGTGAGGGAGGGAGACTGGAGTGTGAGTTGAGTAATTGGTGAGTGAGGGAGGAGACTGGAGTGTGAGTGAGTAATTGGTGAGTGAGGGAGGGAGACTGGAGTGTGAGTGAGTAATTGGTGAGTGAGGGAGGGAGACTGGAGTGTGAGTGAGTAATTGGTGAGTGAGGGAGGGAGACTGGAGTGTGAGTGAGTAATTGGTGAGTGAGGGAGGGAGACTGGAGTGTGAGTGAGTAATTGGTGAGTGAGGGAGGGAGACTGGAGTGTGAGTGAGTAATTGGTGAGTGAGGGAGGGAGACTGGAGTGTGAGTGAGTAATTGGTGAGTGAGGGAGGGAGACTGGAGTGTGTGAGTGAGTAATTGGTGAGTGAGGGAGGGAGACTGGAGTGTGAGTGAGTAATTGGTGAGTGAGGGAGCGAGACTGGAGTGAGTGAGTAATTGGTGAGTGAGGGAGGGAGACTGGAGTGTGAGTGAGTAATTGGTGAGTGAGGGAGGGAGACTGGAGTGTGAGTGAGTAATTGGTGAGTGAGGGAGGGAGACTGGAGTGTGAGTGAGTAATTGGTGAGTGAGGGAGGGAGACTGGAATGTGAGTGAGTAATTGGTGAGTGAGGGAGGGAGGCTGGAGTGTGAGTGAGTAATTGGTGAGTGAGGGAGGGATACTGGAGTGTGAATGAGTAATTGGTGAGTGAGGGAGGGATACTGGAGTGTGAGTGAGTAATTGGTGAGTGAGGGAGGGATACTGGAGTGTGAGTGAGTAATTGGTGAGTGAGGGAGGGACATGGGAGTGTGAGTGAGTAATTGGTGAATTGTGAGTAAAGTGTGTTTGATTGGGAGGTGAGGGAGTGGTAGGTAAGTGTGTCTAATGTGGTCTTGTTCATTGGTTAAGGTATGGGGATACGAGGGAGACACTTAACATAGGAGGTTTCTGCATTATTACTTTTAATTTAGGTGCCTATTGTCACTTTGTACAGGTAATTCCTTTATTACCACTCACACCGAATACAGGTGGTTCTGCGCTATTATCACCACCGAATATAGTTGGTTAATATACTGTTACCATCCTATTACTCTTTAGAGGCGGTCACTATACTACAACTCTTCCCTGAAAACAAGTGGTTGCTGTACTACAACTCTTTCCTAAAAATAGATGGTTGATATACTACAAACCTTCCCTAAAAACAGATGGTTGATATACTACCTCTTCCTAAAAACAGATGGTTGATATACTACAACTTCTCCTAAAACAGGTGGTTGCTGTACAAGTCCGTCGACCCTGGCATGGTGCTCCGCTGGCTGGTGAGTGAGCTGCAGCAAGCCGAGTCGAGAGGAGAAGTGGTCCACATCATAGGCCACATCCCGCCCTTCTATTCGGATTGCTTCGCTCAGTGGGCGCACCAGTTCTCCAGGATTGTCTCCAGGTGAGGGAAAGGGGCGTCAGGGAAGGTGTGTGATGTTTTTGTTGTCTTTTTTCTTTTGGGTGGGGTGATTTTAGAAGTGTGTGATGTTTTACGGGCCTGTGACTTGCCGCTGAATGCTGTTGAACTCTTTAGTCATGGGTTGCATGAAAAATAGACGAAACGAAGATACACTACTAATGCAGATAGGACTGTCTGCATATATTAAACAGAAAGCACACATCCAGAAACAGAGACAGGCGCACATGCATATAGTACAAACACAGTTGATTGCTGTACTACACACATAGGTACATAAACACACAAAGTACATAATGTTTGTAATTACGGCTAACTCTTAACCTGCCGGAACTGCACAAGGAATATAATAATGAAACAAAATCCCCTCTATCCACACAAGAAAAAACTCGACACGATTCGTAACACCCACATAAACATCCACAAGAAGTCATGCAAAAACAACTCGTAGCATCCACACCTCTCCGCCCGTCTACCCACACAAAAAACATACGTAATAAGAAACTCAACGCGTATCTTAGCATCCACGTGAACATCCACACGTAATAAAAAATCTCAACACGGTTCCTAACATCCACCTGTACATCCACGCCTCCAGGTACGCCCACATCATCCGTGGGCAGTTCTACGGGCACTCGCACCAGGACGAGTTCCGCGTGCACTACGACGTCAACGCCCCCAACAAGCCCATCGGCGTGCAGTACGTGTCCCCCAACAACGGGCCCTTCCACGACCTCAACCCCTCCTACAGGGTCTTCTACATCGACGGCGACCATCCGGAGACCACGAGGGTAAGCTGCATTTTTTTGAAGGGGGGGAGGAGAGGGGAAGGGTGTTGGTAAGAGAAGCGCGGGAGGAGACGGAGAAGGGAAGGAGGGAGGCTTGATGGAGGAGGAGAGGGGAGGGGAAGGGTGTTGGTGGGAGGGAGGAGACGGAGAGGGGAAGGATGTTGGTGGGAGGGAGGAGATGGAGAGGGGAAGGGTGTTGGTGACAGGGAGGAGATGGAGAGGGAAGGGTGTTGGTGGAGGAGAGGAAGAGAGGAAGGGTCTTGGTGGGTGAGGAGAGGGAGAAGGGTAGTTGGCTTGATTTTATTTTTGAGAGGCTAGAATTGGAAAGATTTTTTTAGGAGGAGGGGTGATTTGTGGCTTAGTTGATAGGTTTTTGAGTCCTTATTGGGATGGATTTTTTTTTTTTTTTTTTTTTTTTTTTTTTTTTTTTTTTTTTTTTTTTTACGAATGGAACCTTATTCCTCGCATATTGACGCGAAACACCTTAATCCTCCCATCCCCTTTTGGCAGAACGTACTGGACTACGAGACCTGGGTGATGAACCTAACCCACGCCAACAAGTACGACGCTCCTCACTGGTACCAGCTGTACACCGCCCGTCGCGATCTCCAGCTGCCATCCCTCGACCCCCGGCACTGGGATCAGCTGGTTCAGCGCATGGCTCGGGACCCTCAGCTGTTCGCGCGGTATCACAGGTCAGGGTTGTTCTCTTTGGGATTTGGCGAAGGGTGGTGGAGTGTTGTTTGCACGTTTGGATACGTTGCACTTACAGTAAACCTTCAAAGTTCTTGATAGATATGGCAAGTTTTTGCCTGAACCCGTTTGAATGTTTCGTCCACATTTGATGTTGTTTTAAGGGACCTACATGGAACGTTTCATCATCTCTAGGAGGGTGAAGTAAGCGCCGTTGTGTTCTTTGCAGATACCAAGTCCAGGACAGCGACAGCGCGTTATCCAAAGGCTGCGACGCGGAATGTCGGCGGAACACCCTCTGCGCCATCGTCGAAGGAGACAAGTTCATGCCGCGCAAATGTCGCCCGCATGATTGATCCCACCGACATATGTCACACCTCGACATATTTTTCTTTTGTTACACCTTTACCTACTGATGTTGTAGAGTATCTCTATTTTTTACTTATATAATAAATGCACAAAGTTTTCATTTGTTAAACCCTTGAAACGAGTGTGTTTTGAGTAGCTCGACGTTAGCTGAGCTCAGGACCGACGTAAACGAATGGTCTCAGATTCCAAATGCATTCGCAGTCAGCCTCATCATCCAAAGTAGTAAAGTCTCATTCTTCAGTCAGAATGCAAGTCTTGTTCGTTCGAAAGTAGAATGAAGAAACAGTCTCTGTATTTTGTCAAAAGGCTGATGGCGGGAAATATATGTTTTCGGTCCCAGTTTGTTGTTAATTCTCGGAATCTGTCTCTTGGGCTAGTTCACGAGGGTCCAACATTTTGTCCGTTTGCTTTGCCAGTAGGTCCTGTTTTCCTGCTTGTTTTGTGTCAATAGATAGACATTGTTGTTATCCAGTGAGACAGACGACGAAGGCCTCTGGGCCAGATTTGTATAAAGTGAATCTATTTGACTCGGATTTTTAACCATAGTCACCGATTTCGACCTTTCCTCTCTGTTCGTGGGAAACATCATGATCATCAACATTTTTTGTGCAGACACAAACTTTTGATTTAATAGACAGTGTTTCTGCAGTTCTTTGTTCCGATATTTATCTCATTCCCTACTCTTATCTATGTGAATATTACATGTTCATTTATATACCTATTCCCAGGTGATAGATAATAAGCCATTGTTGTATAAGCAAAACCGAAAAACGAAAATGTGATTGTACATCATACATTCAGCTATGCAACAGTATATGATTCCTGCACAAACACGTGGCTGTGCAGCGGGTTGTGCAGCAGTTGACTGATGAGGCAGCTGTGCTAGCATTTATTAGTACAGTAGTAGTGATGGATGTACAGATGTGTGGTTGTACAGTGCCACTAACACTAGCACAGTCAGTGCCTCTGCATCACTGGCTGTTGCGCAACTTGCAGCTTCCCTTAAAGTAAGAAATAACGTTAACAGTACAAGTTCCTGTGGCAAATAAACAGTATTATCAAACTTATGTAGGTTAATGACAGTGATAGAGAAACTTATCTTAAGTGAATGAATTACATCTATTATAACATAGTGTTTTATAAGACCTTGATTGTATTGGTCACTGAATAAAGACCGGTGTGATTGATTATGCAAGAGAGAGAAAAGAAAATGACTTTGAGCAAGCACTGATCAGGTTGTAACTCTCCCAGTGATTGATGTTACGTAAAAGACCTCAAACATGTTTTCTAAATTATGCGCATTAATAATTTTTCTTATAGTTCGTATTATTAAACACAAAATCCTGTCCAGGACATTGTGACATCTTGGAGGTTTGAGAGGCCAGATTATGTTAAATGTTGAATAATAATGTTGAACGTCAAACGAGTTGGGTCACTGCGGCCTCTACTGAAGAAAGGTTTTCATTCGTGTACCTAAAAAACAGACAAACCTTTGCAGTATATATGTTCGCGTGTGTTTCTGTGTGTGCAATGCATTTTTTCTGCCATATTACACCCATGTTTTGTAGCGTAGATATATAGGGTAGGTGTTTTATCGTATTGTTCGTCTTTCGCATTGTGTGTTACATTTGTTGATGTTTTTAATGCCTCAGTAGGATATGTTTTTTCTTTTTTTTTTTTAATCTGTCATATGGTAATATGAGTTTCGTGTATTATTTTAAGAACTAGTCTAGTATAGTGGCCTCCGAGTACCCAGTAGTCTTTCACGATTTTTTTTTTTATTTTATTTTCTAATATAATGAATGGCAAAATCAAGCAGGTTTTGTGTATGACTCGAGTTCATATAGTGTTCAGTCTTAATATAATTCTACTAATGTGGTATTCAACTGTCAGTGCACTTTGACCGTGATGCTCATTTGTTTTCCATAGCTGACAGAAGCCCTCCATTACCAGCACTGATCACTCAGCCATT